CACTGGTGATAACGGCTAGAAAACTAAGGCCATATTTTCTGAATCATGTGGTAGTATTCAGGACGAACTTCCAGCTGGGTGAAACATTGGGCCGACCTACGGTATCAGGACGACTCGTTAAATGGGCAGTCGAGCTGAGCGAATATTCCATCAAGTATGAGTCGAGGCGAGCCATAAAAGCTCAAGCCCTGGCAGATTTCATCCAAGAAGGTACCAAGGGAGAAGAAAAGAGATGGGTCATGCACGTCGATGGGTCCTCAGCGGCCAAAGGGTCCGGCCTGGGAATCGTCCTCGTATCACCCGAGGGCGAGCAACTTGGCTTTGCCATTAGAATGGGATTTAAGGCCTCAAATAATGAAGCAGAATACGAGACGTTAATCAAAGGAATTCAACTCGCAATTGGCGGAGGAGCGTCAGAAATTGTGGCACATTCCGACTCACAATTAGTTGTTGGACAAGTGTTGGGAAGTTGCGAGATCAAAGAAGAACGAATGATGAAATATGTCGAAGAAATCCAATGTCTTGTGCAGGGCCTGGAGAAGTTTGAACTAACACAAATCCCTCGAGAAGAAAATAAACGAGCAGATTGGCTCGCAAGAATCGCGAGCTCGAATGATGGAAAGATGGGAAGCTCTATCACCACCATGCAACTAGAGGGAAGCGTGTTGGGCGAAACGATGGAAGTCGAGGAAAAGGACGACTGGAGAAAATCGATTCACGAACTCCTACAGGGTCGAGTACCCATGGAAGACAAGCAGGAGGCAGAAAGGGTCGCTCGATATCTAAGCAAATATTTTGAAGTCGACGGTGTCATGTTCAAAAAATCTCTGGTTGGGCCTCACTTGCGATGCATCTCTAAAGACGAAGGAACCCATGTCTTGAAAGAAATACATGAAGGATGTTGCGGAGCGCATATAGGATCGCGAGCTCTGGCGGGCAAAGCCTTACGAGCAGGATACTATTGGCCCAAGATGCGGACAATGGCGGAACTGTTGGGTTCGATATACCCGTACGGAACAAATAATGCAGCGGAATTTAAAATTT